TATTTACCGTGGTCTCTGTGTGTTTCCTGTGTTTGAACGGTTTGATTCTCTGATCTGTTGCTGGTGAATCAACAACCTGAGACGACTGCGGTGATTTAGGAACAAGAATTAATCTGTGACATGGCCCTATGAACCAAATCTGAGAAGCACAGGGACTGGCCTCCTGCTGGGACTCTGAGGAGCACAGGGACTGGCCTCCTGCTGGGACTCTGAGGAGCACAGGGACTGGTCTCCTGCTGGGACTCTGAGGAGCACAGGGACTGGCCTCCTGCTGGGACTCTGAGGAGCACAGGGACTGGCCTCCTGCTGGGACTCTGAGGAGCACAGGGACTGGCCTCCTGCTGGGACTCTGAGGAGGCCAGGAGGACTAAACATGAGGAGACAGCGTTTGAGATTTATGCAACAAAAATCTGGAACAATCTTCCTGAAAATGTGAGACAGCCTGGCTTCTTCTGACTGGTATGTACATTTGATCTACTATATGCTCCACTAGGGGGCAATGTTGTGGTGCTTTTTGACCTGGAGGGAGCTGGCAAGAGTTAAGTTTTGGATATACACTGTTACTGTGTTATTATTCTTTACAAAGTTAAAATCCAGATTAAAACAGTTTCTGCAACAACTGAAGGATTGTATCTGGATTTTTATGATTCTAATGTCTCAGCCCTTTGCCCTCTGTTATAAACTCACCATCGCGGCCCACAGGGGGGTCCGGGTGGAGCTCAGCGGGGTGTCCTTCCTGAACACCGCGTCCATGACCCCGCAGACCGCACAGAGCCCCGCGGAGGCCGTCTGCAGCACGCCCAGCACCAGCACTCTGTCCTGGGCCAACCCCGGATAACGGGACCGGTCCATGTCCGGCCAAAACTACCGACCCTGTGCCTGGTCCAGTCCAGTCCAGTCCAGAGCGGGCTCAGGAGCAAAGATTCGAACTGATGTCTTTACTTTTATTTGTTCTAAAATGTGTTGAAAGTTTGTGCGTCGGTTCCGGGTTGATCCAGTTTGTAGTTCATCATTAACCTGCGGCAGGTGGAGTTTAAACCCTGACTTTGACCTCGCAGGCTCCGTACTTTATTAAACTGGCCTTTTGTATCACACACAGATTCACAATGATGCTACACAACACAATAAAGACTGCATTAATATACTACACAACATATCATGATACAGGTGAAAGCCAGATCCTTCGGACCTCTGAGGCTAAGCAGTGCAGGTTAGTACTGTGATGGGAGGCCTCTGGGAACAGCAGGTGCCCACATTAGTCTGTGTGTGTGTTCGCTTCTATAATAATGACACGTGAAGAGTCTTTGAGAGTCCATTATTATTATTTTTATTATTATTTTGTTCATCTCTTTGTGAAAAACATAAGCTTTGGGTTTTTCTAAATCTTGTGTTGATAAAGTGTGACATCAGTAACAATGGATTTGATCTTTACAGAAAACTTAAATACTTTGATGGTTTTTCAGGTGCATTTCACTGAAGTCATTTATGGCACTTTAAATAAGTGAGTAAAGGTTTACAGAGTCCAACACCATGTCATTTAGAGCCCTGCACGGGCCTATTATCTGGGCCCTGGCCTGATGCTGTATGATAAACAGATGCTGTATGATACACAGATGCTGTATGATACACAGCCGTGTCGTCAATGACAACCCTATACAGAACAACAAACACTACAGTGTGATAGAGCTAATTCAGTGTATGTGTTCACAAATGTTATGTGCCGCTCTGAAGATGAATAAATAAAAGTGCCCGAGCCCGGCCCGTGTCCGAGGTCATTATATGGTCATCGGCCCGAAGCCCAGTCCTCGAGCTCGTCGGGCCCCTGGGCCTAGTCGGGCTCCTTGGGCCTAGCGCTCAAGTGCAGGGCTCTTATGTCATTGTAGTCGTTTATAAAGAGACAATAGTTTTAATTCTTTGAATAGTTTACTGCTTTTTTACAACTCACTCATAATCAGCTTCACTGATGAAAAACAAGACACAAAATGATCAAATTTAGTAAAAAGTGTCTTAATCTGAAACATTCTGCCTTGAAACAATGGGACAAAGTGAAATGTTTTAATGACGCATGTTTCCTTTGAGGAAATAAACAGTTTCAATCAGACTAAATGTCTTTGTGTCGTTGGAGAATCTGGGTGTGGTCAGGAGTCCATGTGATTGTCCCCAGCTCTGATTGGACGGGTCAGTGTCACATGAGTGTTTCCTGCCCTCTCATTGGCCAGCGCTCTGCTGGAACTCCTGCAGTGCCCGTTTGTACCACTCGGGGGCTTCGGGAGCGCTCTTCCCCGACGGCTCGTGGGCGTAACCGTAGGCGACCGTCAGCTCCTCGTCCTGGTGCACCGGCCTCAGGGTCCGGATGCATTTGATGGGCCCAAAGCGGGGGTGAACGTACCTGCGACAGTCACCATGATATGAGATTCTCACATTTTATATCAATGTTTGGCCATTTTAATTTTACTGAGATCACCAGAGAGGAGAGAGAGAGGAGAGGGGAGAGAGGTGAGAGAGAGGAGGTGGAGCTCACGGGTCATATTTGCAGTTGGGGGTGAAGGAGTGGTTAGCCTTGTGTCCGAGGGAGGCGCAGTATGTCTGGGTCTGGTCCCAGGGCTCAGGGACGTCTATCACTGTGTCCTCGTCCAGAGAGATGGTGTTTCCGTTCAGAGCCCAGTCCCGACCGTCCACCTGGTACACACACATGGTTCATGGTGTGAGATGGTTGCTCACAGGAGACAGATCTGAGTTTTACAGACATTACTGTGAAACTGAAATATACAGCCCTAAAAACAGAAGTGTAAAGTTTGTGAGACTATTGGCACAAAAGTCTGCCTTTTCATTCCAGGAGCAGCAGATGATTTGTGTAAACTCTGGTCCATGATTATCTCTTACATGTACGTCTGGGTCTGATCCTAGTGGCTGCAGTTTCCTCGGTTAAATCCCCTCTGACCAATCAGAGAGCGGGGGAGGCGGGTGTTGTAGGTCAGTGTCGGTAACGTCAAGAGTTTGTGCTTAGTTTAACGGTTGTAGTTTGCCAGTTGTAAAAGGAGTGAACCCTGTTCACTAAGTCAAACTGTCCA